ATATGTATATTGATTTTAAACAAACAATATAACAACATATAACTTATTACAGTAAATTAAAAAATAAGAATATTTTATTAATTCATTAAACTGTAAAAGATGATTTTGACATTTTTTTACCTTAATACTTTACATATAAATTAATTATCTTTGTAATGATATATTTGTAATTTATATAAAAATAAAAAAATATTTTATTATTAGCGTGTGATTAATTTTAAAATAGATATTTTTATAATAAGATGAACGAAAATAACAAAAAAAATATATTTTCAGTTGGAACAAATAGAGTATTAAATATTTTTATCTATATATTTCATAAAAGTATTGTTCAATGATATAAAAATAGTTTATTAGGAATATTTAAAGAATTTTTTATCATATTTTTAATGAAAACAAAATATATAAATTTTCAATATAATATTTAAAATATTAATATAAAATATTGTTGTAAAATAAATATGTAAAAACATAAAATATTGGATGATATTTATAATTTATAAAATTATAGTATAAATATTGTGGCTAGTCCCTTCGAAAATGAAAAAAAAAAATTAATTATATCTCTTGCAAAAATAAAATGTATAGTTGACTATAATGTAAATTAAACACAAACCCTTATATATCAAAATTTAAAATTTATTATCTTATAATTTTTATTATTATTATTATTATTATTATTATTATACAAACAGTTAGTACAATATTCATATTGAATACAAACATTATTGTTTGGTCCAAATTCATTATTCGTGGAAAGACCCAAATTAAGTCAGTGGCCTTATAAAAAAAAAGTCTAACCCAAAGAAAGTTCAAAAGACAAAAGTTGAAAGAAGTTGGATCAAAAAATAGTCTTTTATTAAAATTAAATCAACACTAAAAGTACACAACAATTCAAAAACAAATGGATGACATTCTTAGACCGAATGAATCAAATAAACTTATATTAAGGGAAGACTACAACAGAGATCTCATGATTGCGAGTTAAAAATCCAAAAATATGAATGGAGATTCAATAAATATATGTTAAAATCTATCCAAGTAGGGACAGAAAATGAAACTGCAGAGATAATTGATGAATGAATAATATTCCTATTCTTTGGAATAAAAACAACATATAGACATAGTGAAAATTGAAACGGTGAAGATAATTGATGAATTGATAGTCTCCCTGTATTTTTTAATAAAAATAACATACAGACATTGAAAAATAGAATTGTGGAGATAATTGATAATAAATAATCTCTTTTTGGAATAAAAATGACATCTAGACAGTAAAAAAAATAAAACTGTGAAGATAATTGATGAATAGATAGTCTCCCTATTTTTTAGAATAAAAATAACATACAAACAAAATAAAAAATACATACAAATATCCAAAACAGATCTTAATGATTTATTTTTTCTTACTTTCAATTTTAATTTCCAATAATTATCAACACGACTTAAGAGATAAAATTAAATTGTAGATGGGAAGTACTACCATCTTCAATATCTATAAAACAATTTTAACTTATCTTCCATTAGCCTTATATAAATAGCAAAATTATTATTTATATAGAATGAGTTACGAAAAATCATCATATAAATTGAAGGGGACACCTTCTCAAATGAAAGTACTTCACAATATTGTGCTCAATTGAGGGGAATATGGTAGCAATCTTCTATTGGTTGAAGGATTTTTAGGATTTTTACTATTTATTATAAAATTCTTTCTCTAAAACGTTTTAAATCAAATAGAAAAATAATTCTATTGATATATTTATAATAATTCTAAGTTTGTTACTTTATATATATTTATATTTTAATTGATATTTATAGAAAAATAAATATTTATTGATATATTTGTTTTTTTATATTATTTAATTAATTATACGTGATTATACTAAAATTGATACATGTGAAAAATAGCTGATAATTAATTTATTGTATTTATTATATTCAATCAAATAATATTATCTATGTATTTTGTATTTAAATTTAAATCATCAATATAATATTTAAAATATTAATATAGAATATTATTGTAAAATAATATGTAAAAAAATAAAATGTTGGATGATATATTAAATTTATAAAATTATACTATAAAATATTGTGACTAAATAAAAAATTATATTATATATCTGAGATAAAATATATAGTTGAATATAGCTTAAATTATATAAGAAGCCTTATATATCAAAACTAAAATTTATTTTCTTGTAATTTTTTTCTAATTTTTTTACTCTGCAAACTAAAAATTTTCTAAGTAAAAACAACACATACAATATTTATATTGCATACAAATATTGTTATTGGAGCCAAAATTCCATTATTCGTGGAAGGACCCAATTAGTGGCCTATGAAAAAAAAAGAAAATTCGATTCCAATAAAACAATGATAGAAGGGGATCAAGAGAAGCACACAATAAAATGAGTTAGATCAAGAGAAGGCTAAATAAACCCTCAAGGCACACAACAATCCAAAAAAATATATTACATTCTTTAAACCCAACAAATCTAATAAAGTCAGATCAAAAAGACTGCAATAAAAAATTCATGACAGACTGTCAGCTAAAGATCAATAAATATGAAGGTGAGACATGGAGATTCAATAAGAAATTTGTTAAAACCTATCAACACGTGAGAATAGAAAGTGAAACTGTGAGAATAATTGGTTAATGGACAATCTTCGTACCTTTTAAAATTAAAACAATATAGACAAAAAAAATGGAACTATGAAAATAACTGATGGATGGTTAATCTTTCTACTTTTTGGAATAAAAACAGCGTATAGACAAAATAAAAAATAAGACGATAAAGATAATTGATGAGTGGACAGTCTGATCATTGCCTGTTGGAATAAAAACAATATACAGACAAAATTAAAAACACACACAGAAACATCCAAAACAATTTCTTACTGGTTTTTTTTTTCTTACATTTTTAATTTTATTTATTTTCCTTTACTTATCAACATGTCGAAGAAAGAAAGTTAAATTTTGGAATTATGAAGATAATTGAAGAATGAATAGTCTCCCTATTTTTTTGGAATGAAAACAGTATACAGACAATGAAAAATAAAACCGTAAAAATAATTAATAAATAGATAATCTCCTTACCTTTTGGAATAAAAGCAACATACAGACAGATTAAAAACACACACAGAAATATCCAAAATAATTTCTTTCTGATTTTTTTTTTAATTTTTCATTTTATATGCACCTGGGATAAAATTAAATTTTGGAACTGTGAAGATAATTATGGATGAATAGTCTCCATATTTTCTGGAGTAAAAACAATATACAGATATAATAAAAAATATACAGAAACATCCAAAAGAATTCTTATTGGTCATTTTTTTTACTTTCCATTTTATTTTACTGCACTTATCAATACGTGAATATAGAAAATTAAATTGTGGAGATAACTGATAGACAGACTCACAATTTTTTAAAAAACAACATAACGGACAAAAATGAAAATTACACTAAAAACATTTCAAACAATTTATACTTATTTTTCTTGTTTTTCTATTTATTAATTTATGTGTGCCAAGAGAGAAAATTGAACTGTGAAGATAATTGATAAATGAATATTTTAATTTTTTGAAATAAAAATATCATATAGATATAATGAAAAATAAAAATAGTCAGAAACATTTTGAATAATTTTTATTAATTTTTATTTATTTTATTTTTCAGCACTGACATGTGGAGAGTTGAAAGCAGAATTGTAAATATAGTTGATGAATAGATACATCCTCATTTTTTTTAAATAAAAACAATATACAAACAAAATAAATGATATAACATCCCAAAAATAATTCCTATAATTATTTTATTTTCTTTTATTTTTTTGCTTTCCATTTTATGTTTTGTTAGCACTTTTTTTCACTTTCGATTTATACAACTACCTCCATTTTTTATATTATTTAAATTAAAATTAATTTAAAATTATAATATTCCTTCCATTCATATGACTAATTTTATTTCTTTTTTTTTTCATGTAAATTTAAAAATATTAACATTATATATACATAGTAAAATACATAAATAAATAAATGAATGTAAAATTACATCTTTGAATCAAATAAATTAATTAATAAAATTAATAATATTATTGTAATAATAATACTAATAAGTTTTCTTTTTAAATCTCTTTAGAATCACAATTAATAAAAAATATATTCCTTCCGTCCCATTAAAGGTTACCATTTTTCATTTTCGTCCGTCTCAACATAAAGTTACTATTTCTTAATTTAGTAACTGTACTACCTACTTCACATAATAAATACTTTGTTACTTTTATATTACTTCATATTGTCTTTTTTACTATAATTTAATATAATACTAATATTCAAAAATCTACGGCAAAAAGCAAACGCCACCCTTCTAACGGGACAGAGGGAGTATATTGATTTCAAACAAACAAAATAACAATACATATAAATTGAATTTCAGAATTTTTTTCCACTCATCTTCAATCATGAAATTCTAAGCTATTCAAATACAGATTTGTTTATTTTGTGAAATTTACTAACATTAATTAAAATATTTAATTATTTTAATTTATAATTTTTTTATATTATATTATAATTATTTTTAATAGTATACTTCTTAATTATTCATTACTTATATTTCTCTTAAGTTGTCTCATAAATTCTTATATCTAAAGTAGATCTTAATCTATTTATACAAAAGAAAAATACTAATAAATAAGTACATCTTGAATTTACTACAAATTCAAAATATTCCACCTTGCAAAGAATGAGCTATCCAACCCTCAAACTGATTTGTATTTTCTACAAGAAAAAGCATAAAGCACTGAAATAGCTAAGCCCAGCACTGCAATAACAGCTAAAATAACTTTCATAAAGTTTGATTACTATAAAACAAAAATGGAGGAAGAAGAAGATGAAGAGTAAAAGTAAAGAACCATTCAAACAGCCCAACCAAATAACTTTCTTTTTGTTCTTTGCACACAGTAAGAGAGAGAGAGAGAGAGAGAGAGAGTGAGTGACAAAGAGAGAGAGAATCCCAAGTCATTTCAGACATTAAATTTACAACAAAGTTACAACAATCATAAACTTGCTATGGCTATGGCTATGGCTATGGCAATGGCAGCAGCAGTACAGTAGCCTCCTCCATTGAAATCAACTACACCAATCATCATCATCATCATCATATACTAACTTGCCATCACCACCGCCACCACCACCGCCACCACCAACACCAAGAACTCCCTCCTCCATTAAAATCAACTCAAAGAAAAGACCAATTAAGGGTAAGGATAATGATTCATAGATAAATATAGAAGGAAGAAGAAGATGAAGAAGAAGACCAACCACATAAAATTAGCACTAAACTCCCTAATAAGCTTCACTCAATGGCCTAATCTAATTCCTTCCCTTAAGCCCCCACCGGAGCCGTCGCGCTAGCTTTCACCTTCGGCGGCCTCCCCCGTCCGCGCGGCGGTCCTCCACTAGCCGGCGGCGGTGCTGCCGGCGCCGCCGCCGCCGCCGACTTCGGAGGGCGGCCGCGTTTCCTCCCTGAGACATTACTTGTAGCCTTTGGCTTCGCCGGAGGTGGAGCTGAATTTGGATCTCGAGGCTTTGGGGGACGTCCGCGGGGTCGGGGCGACGCCGCGACAACCCCCGGCGGCTGATGAGTTTTAGGCTTCGGCGGACGCCCACGGCCGCGGCGCGGCGGCGCGTCGGGGTCCGGCTTCATGTAGTTGTTCTTGAGGAAAACGAGCTGCCCCGCCGACTTCATTCTGTTGAGGTGATGCGTAAGCAGCGTCGAGTGCGCCGGCGGGAGATTCCCGTAGGTCGCTTCGATGTGCTTCGAGATCGCCGATTTGTTCGATCCGTTCTTCTCGTTCAACGCCTCGATTGCTCCCATAATCATCTGTGCAGCACAAATTCAAAAAAAAATAAAATCCAGATTTCAGAAACCTAATCGAAAAAAAAAAAGTTCAGCTGAATCGAAGAATATCGCAGCAACGAGAAATTGCGCAAACAGCCATAAATTAGGTTCAATTAAACCGATTTTAACGAAATCAAAGCAGATTCGAACAATCCGAGCTACATTTCCTACCTCGGGATACTGCGGCAAAGGCGCCGGCGGCTGAGCCAGATTCTGAAGATTAGACTGAAATTCTTCACTCGCCATGGCCGCGCTGCGAATCCTCTGCAACCTAATCGATCGGCGAGCAGTCCAGCGGCAGAATTCCTGCAAATTCGTGAAGAAGAAGACAGTGGCGACTGAATCGAAGGCGAGAAAAATGGGGTGGGAGGAATAGGAGAAGGGAAGGGATATAAAAGGGTTATACAGAAATGGGAAAAAGAAATAATTAATTAATTGGAAAAAGAAACAGACAGCGGGACAGAGGCGGAGCAGACAGGATTGAGCGTTGATGGGTTTGAATCGACGGCTGGGGATTCGCCACCGGGGGGCGATCGGAGGGACGTAATTCGCTCTGAGTACGTCCCGCGGATTGATGACGTGGATGTGCTATTCTTCTCTTTAAAAAATTTACTGCAACAAAATTCGAATGGGGAGCCTCTCATCAGATCGGATTAAATAAATATTTATTCATTTCTAGTGCCTATTAAATTTAATGAATTATTATTATTATTATTATTATTATTATTTTTTGTTCTTTTATTAGGGAATGAAATATGAATTTCAAATTTTGATTTCAGCCCACCTTCGAATATTTCTCCCACCCAACCTCACCAATTTTTATTTGTTTTTAACAATATGGATTAGATTTGAATTTTATGGACTTTTGAAAAATAAAATTACATTTTTTTATCTATATATTTCGTATAATTGTTTTTTAATGATATACAAAATAATTTATTAAAAATATTTTTAAAAAAAATTGTTATATTTTTTAATCAAACAATAAAAATTAAATTTCAATTATCAATCCAATATTTAAACTACAAATATATAATAATAAAATGAAGTATAAGATGATATATATATATATATAAAATCAACACAGAGTATTACTTGATTTTTATAAAAATAAAAAAATATATTTCGAAACAAGTTATTGTGGTTAGTTATGTAAAAATAAAAAATTATACTTATTATATCTTTTTGTAAAAATAACAGGTCTACTTGAATATAATCTAAATTATAGGTGGTATGCTCAAAATCAAATGTTTATTATGTCTGGTCATATAATGATATTGTGATTGTGAGATCAGTCTATGGAAAAATAAAATTAGTACGAAGAAAATTTAATAAGACAAAAACGAAAGATCTGATCAGAAATAGTCTTTTATTAAAATTAAATCAGCAGTTAAAACATGCGACCATCCAAAAAGATGGATGGCATTCCTTAGGTCTAACTAATCCAATAAACCAAGATCATGAGAATGTCAGGTTAGGTCAAAAAGCCTATATTTGTAGTATGTTTTTCAGTTTGTCTGTTTATCCAGAAATATCCAAAAATATGTTGAAATCTATCCAAATGTGAAGACAAAATTAAATTGTGGGAATAACTGATAATGGATAGACGGTCTACTTTTAATAATAAAAAAAAAACAACACACAGACAAAATGAAAAATATACTAAAATATATTCAGAAACATCCAAAACAGCTATTATTCTTTTTACTTTTTATTTTATTTTTCTACAGAAGTTATCTACACGTTGAGAGATTTATTTATTTCTCTACATTTACCTACACGCGGAGAGAAAAAAATAAAATTATAAAGATAATTGGCGAATAAACTCCTCAATTTTTTGAATAACTACAACATACATACAAGCACTTATCCACGCGTGGAAAGATGAAACTGAATTATGAAGATAAAGTGACTCTCTAATTTATTTTTAATAAAATAACATAGCACAAAAATATATATATATACTATCAAAAAACTTTCAAACAATTCCTATTATTTTTCAAGTATAAAGAGAGAAAAATGAAATTATAGAACTAAATAATGAATGAGTAGATTCCACCTTTTAGAATAAAAACAACATAACACAAGTAAAGATATCCTAAACAAGTTTTATATTCTTTTTTTTTTTTTTTTTTTTTTTTCCGTGTGTTTCTATTTTTAGCATTTTCTTTCACTTTCAATTTATATTTTTTCTCTGTATTTCAATTTATTTACATTTTTAATACTCTTTCCATTTTTATGATCGATCTATTCATTTATTTTTCGTACATAAATTTTAAAATATTAACAATATATATATAGTACAATAGATAAATTAATGTACAAGAATATCCCTAAATCACGTAAATAAAATAAAATAATATTGTTATAATAATAATTAAAATGTCATTTTTAGAATTTTTTTTAGGACCAAATTTTAAAAAAGAAGAAGAAGATCCATTTCAAACAAACAAAATAGCAAAACATACAAATTGATTTTAGATGGAGAATCTTTTTTATTTGCTAAGTAATTTCTTCTCCTCATAATTACTATTTGTCAAGGAAAAGTAAAATATAACGAATTTATGTGGATTAATCATTGTTTAATTGTGGTTTAAAATGGAGAATTTATAATAAATGAATTTATGTACTTTAATCATGGCTTAATTGTAACTGTGAGATCAGTATATGAAAACATAAAGACCAATATAAAGAAAATTTAATAAGACAAAACCTGAAAACCCGATAGAACATAGTTTTGTACTAAAATTAAATCAACAGTCAAAACACAACCACCCAAAAAGATCAATGACATTCCTTATATTCAACGAATCCAATAAATTCAAATAAAGAGTATGTTTTTCAATTTGGTTGTATGCTGTTTTTTATTCTACCAGAAAGATACAGAATGTATAATGACACAGTGGAGATTGAATAAAAAATGTGTTGAAATCTATCAACACGTGGAAAAAATTAAATTGTGAAAATAACTAATGAATGAATAAACTGTCTACTTTTTGAAAAAAAAAAAAAAAACATACAGATAAAATGAAAAATATATTCATAAACATCCAAAACAATTATTACTATTCTTTTTACTTTTTATTTTATTTTTCTACACGATAAAGTGATTTATTATATTTTTCTACACTTATCTACACGTGGAGAGAAAAAATAAATTGTAAAGATAATTGATGAATAAACTTTTCAGTTCTTGGAATAACTATAACATACAAACAAACTTACAAACATTTCAAACAATTCCTAATAGTTTTTTTCTTACTTTTAATTTTATTTTCATGCACTTATCCACATGTGGAAAGATATAATCAAATTATGGAGATAAGTAATTCCCTATTTTTTTTTTTAATAAAATAATATAAGACAAAAAAAAAAAGAACAGTCGAGAAAATTTTAAACAATTTCTATTGTTTTTCACGTATAAAAAGAGGAAAATGAAATTGTAAAACTAAATGATGAATGATTAGATTTTACTTTTTAGACTAAAAGCAATATAACACAAGCATAAATATCCTAAACAAGTTTTGTAATTTTTTGTTTCTTTTGTGTCCATTTATCTATTTTTAGCATTTTCTTTCACTTTCAATTTATATATTTTTTATGTATTTCAATTCATTAAAAATTTTAATACTCTTTTCATTCGTACAATCAATCTATTCATTTATTTTTTGCACATAAATTTTAAAATAATAATATTTTTAAATGTATATAGTACAATAGATAAATGAATGTACAAGTATATCCCTGAAATCACATAAATAAAATAAAATAATAATAATTAAAATATAATTTTTTAAAATTTCTTTGGGACCATAGTTAAAAAAAAAAAAAAAAAAAAAGAAGAAAAAGAAGAAGAAAAGATCCATTTCAAAAAACAAAATAGCAAAACATACAAATTGATTTCAAATGGATTATTTTTAAGGAATAGTATAATGTAACAAATTTGTGTGCATAAATCATTGCTTAATTGTGGCTTGAAATGAAGAATTTATAACAAAATGAATTTATGTACCTATCATGCTTTAATGGTAACTGTGAGATCAGTGTATGAAAAAATAAGACTAGTATAAAGAAAACTCAATAAGACAAATACCAAAGACTAGATCAAAAATAATTTTTTATTAAAATTAAATCAACCGTCAAAACACACAACCACCCCAAAAAGATGGATGACATTCCTCAGATCCAACGAATCCAATAAACCCAAATAAAGAGAATGTAGGTCAGGTCCAGGAATCTATGTTTGTAGTATATTTTTCAATTTGTTTGTACGTTGTTTTCTATTATGGCAGAAAGATCAAAAAAATGTAATAATGACACAGCGGACACTCAGTAAATAAAAATTTGTTGAAATCTACCCTAACCTGAGACAAAATTAAATTGTGGGAATAGCTGATGAATTGATAAACTGAAACTAACAGCATCGGATCACTTGTCTCGAGGGTTTGTCTGTCACCCCTGTCCAGGGTGACCCATGTCAATGTTTTTTATTTAATTTTAAACAAAATTTTTTATTTTGCACTTTAACCCCTCATCCTCTCATGTCTGCGCGCTCCCACTATTACAATGCTTTTTTTTTTTTTTGATATTCTGTTCGTATTATTAAGCTTACTTTTCATTCAACATTTATCATCGATTTCGCCAACGTTTCACACTCGGTGGTGCTTGTCTTTATATTTACTTTTCCCGGTGCTTTCGAATTTCACGGTTATTCCAACCTTGTTTTTTTTTTTTCAATCTTCAAATACTCGGTCATACTGTAAGTGATCAGAAAGCATGTATCCCGACAAATTTATTTCTTTTTTATTTTTTTGTTTTTTATTGCTTCAGGCTCTATTATTATTATTATTTTTTGTTACTGTTGTTGTTTATTTATTATAGTTGAAAGCATGTCTATAATTACAAAGAAAATTACTAAAAATTTGTTGTTGTAAAAATACGTGTGTATAATTTTTATATTTTATAAAATTTAAAGAACTTGAATTATTTTGAGTTTTTACATCAATTGAGAATCAATACTAAAGCCACAACATCAAAGTTTACCACAAGATCAACAAAACCTAAAAGCCCTAAATCGACAAAATCAAAATCCTTTCGAAATTGAAAAATCCGAAACACGTATTTAAATTAGAACCAAGAACAACAAATCCTAAACCCTAAATCAAAAACAACAAATATAAATTGCAAAAAATCCCAAAATTTTACTGAATTTTTAAATTTCTCAAATACTAACGATTAAGACCGCACAACAACGGCAGCGACAGCAGACGGACAGAAGAGACGACCGCGGCGATTTGTGATTTCCTAATCGATTTTAGAGTGAATAACGTTTAATTATTAATCAGTGTGAATCCTAAATTATTACGGGGCAAAGTGTAATTTTTTAAAATTTATGAA